TTAATTTATTTTTTCTTACCATCGGCTTCTGTTGGTGTTGAACTACAAGCTGGCTGATCAGATCTTTCATTCAGAATGGCTGTGTCTGTGAGGGAAAAAAAAGTTAATAAATTATTTACTTTTTTTATATATGACTGGCGTATATTCATCACACGGGACTAAGATAAAATATATTTATTTATTTATTTATTTTTTCTTACCATCGGCTTCAGTTGGTGTTGAACTACAAGCTGGCTGATCAGATCTTTCATTCAGAATGGCTGTGTCTGCGAGAAAAAAAAAAAAAAACAAAAGTTATTATTATTTATATATGACCAGCGTATATTCAACACACGGGACTAAGATAAAATATTTTTTAAGCTTAGCCCCTCCGTCTCTTTCTCCATCCGCGTGTAAATCGCTCCTCGCCTGGGCTGCAGCTCCCTCCGACCCAGGTTCCGCGATGTGTTCGACCCGCGGCACAGTATGGGTGAGCTGGCCGGCTTGATCAGACCGAGGCTGCTGTGGAGCGACCCTCGCCTGGGCTGCAGCTCCCTACGACCCAAGTTCCGTGATGTGCTCGACCCGTGGCGCTTGCCCAAGAGACTGGGTATTGGATGTCAGCGGCTGCTCGGAATTTTGGTGGCTGATCGAGCGAGAGCCTGGGAGCTGAGGAGACGCGCGGATGGAAGACAGAGCACCCTGCTGCCTGACGGGTCGAGACCCTGGGGGATGCACTGTGGCACGGGACGCTATAGCAGGCTGGCTTACCGGGCGAGGCGGATAATGAACCGGCCAGATGGAGCTGGGGCTGAGTAGAGGAGCTGATTGGAGCGGCCTGGGCTGCAGTGTTCCCTGTACAGCCTGCGGCTGGAAGGCCCGTGAAATATATGGAGGTAGGCAACCGTTTTGGTAGGCCGCCGTATTGCTATTATTATTTGGTTGGAAACTGTTGGGTGGTGGAAGAAATTCTCTCTCTGTTCGGTTATTTGGGGTGTTTTCAATCGCTGTGATGGTATCTGGAAAATAAAAAAAAAGTAAAATAATTGTTATTTTTTCCATCCCGTTTTTAATATTCTTTCTAAATAAAAGTCTTACCCAAAAAATCAATGTCTGACAGATGAAAATCCTCGATATCGGAATCTTGAAATAGATGAAAAAAAAATAGAGCTTTTAAAATGTGAAAAAAAGCGGATCTTGTTAAAAAGAAAAACTTTTACCTAATACAATGATAGGATTAATTTCCGCCATTGAGATCTGCCCTTAAACAAGAAATTAAATAAATGAAAAAGAGAATGTATTTATTTCTAATAGCGTAGAAAAAAAATTACTCACTGTGTTTCATGATGGAGACGCCTGCCCGACACTCTTAAAAAATGGGAATGGAGTTCCTCTGGCATACGGTCTTTTGTAGAAGCTTAAATCCCTACGTCTGTTGAGCTGTAAAATTATATGATGTTTTTAGATAACACTAAAAACGTGGGGTGTCTGTTTTAGAATGCGGGAAATGAATAATTGAATAAACACATTTTTAAACCCTCATTGCAAACCATTTGCTGTTTCACGCACATTCTGAAGGGGTGGGGGTCTGTGGGCTCAGTGGTGTGTGTGTGTGTGTGTGTGTGTGTGTGCGTGTGGGTGTGAGTCTGATGGGCTGGGTGTAGGAAAAAAAGGTGAAAAGTTTAAGGATGTATGTAGGAAAAAGGTGAAAAGTTTAAGGATGGGTGTTTGTTTTTAAAATTAAAGTTCTGGGGGTGTGAGATTTTAAACTGTGTCTTTTTTACATCATGGGAATGGACCCAACAAAGGTTTTACAGCTTGGATGATGGTAATGAATGGTCTTAACACAAAAGAGGGCAGTAGATTGAGTGTTTTTGTGGTGGGATGATTAGGAAGGTTTCTGGGGGCTGTTCAAAGTGTCATCTTTGGCTTGACGTGTTTGGCCCACATGCTGAACACACTCGGAAACAGGCAGATCTTTGAGGGTCTTTATTGGAAAAAACAGAACGAAAGGGGATTCTGCAACCGCAGACCGAAGCTCAGCACAGGGAGCCGGAACCAAGGAACGTCTAGGGGAATGAGAAGGGCGGTTAACCAGGGACGGGNCCAGCTTCCGCGATGTGCTCGACCCGTGGCGCTTGCCCAAGAGACTGGGTATTGGATGTCAGCGGCTGCTCGGAACTTTGGTGGCTGGTCGAGCGAGAGCCTGGGAGCTGAGGAGACGCACGGATGGAAGACAGAGCACCCTGCTGCTGCCTGAAGGGATGAGACCCTGGGGGATGCACTGTGGCAAGGGAGCTGGGGCTGAGTAGAGGAGATGATTGAAGCGACCTGGGCTGCAGCGTTCCCTGTACAGCCTGCGGGTGGAAGGCCCGTGGAAGATATGGAGGTAGGCACCCGTTTTGGTAGGCCGCCGGATTGCTATTGTTTTGGTGGAAACTGTTTGGTTGTGGAAGAAATTCTCTCTCTGTTCGGTTATTTGAGGTGTTTTCAATCGCTGTGATGGTATCTGGATAAAAAATAAAAATAAAAAAAAGTTTAGTAAAATAATTGTTATTTTTCCATCCCGTTTTTAATATTCTTTATAAATAAAAGTCTTACCCAAATCAAGGTCTGACATAAGAAAATCCTCGATATCGGAATCTTGAAATAGAAGAAAAAAAAAAAATTAGAGCTTTTAAAATGTGAGAAAAAGCGGATCTTGTTAAAAAGGAAAAAAATATACCTATTACAATGGTAGGATTAACTTCCGCCGCTACGATCTGCCCTTAAACAAGAAATTATATAAATGAAAAAGAGAATGTAATTCTTTCTAATAACGTAGAAAAAAAAAATTACTCTCTGTGT